AGCATCAAAAGTAAGGCCAATTAATAGACACTCGTAGCCCAATTAGGGAAATTGTCTACAAAAGATACAAATATTATCTCAAACATTTTAAAAATATGATTTTGATTTCTTTATTATAGTTCAAAATGGGACTTTGTTTGTGTGCCATTGTGTTGTCTATGGTGTAGTATGAGCCTTTGATACCCGGGGTGACGACATGGAGTATTCAACTTTTAACGTTGCAAGGCCCAAGTTCTCTTAATTTTAATGCTTCAACGCCCAACTTATACTTGCCTTTACCTATAAAAGAATTTACAATTGCTTTGTTACCTGCAAAAGACTTACGAATGATACTTATCAAGAACATAAATCTAGACATTTGTATTTAAAAGTTGATTTATGGAACCAATACTTCGACAATTCACTCATCGGATTATTATCCAGAGCACATATGAATTATAGGAGACGTTTCCAGACCGGTTTCCAAATACCTCAAATCGAAATCCATAAATATTTGAACTAATCCATAAGTCACATATTTGTGCACCTTAAAAATTTGTATTTGATTTTGTGATGTTACGATTTCAAAACAATCATATCGAGATTCTATGAGCGTGGAAGCAAGATTCGATGTTTGATTAATTTTTGGTTTCTTGCATCTACGAACCACAGTACTTGATGTTCAGAAATCTGGATTCGAAAATAATTGAATTGAGTATCATTATATGTGGAACCCAGATTCAACAAATATAGAATCAAGATTTAACCATTAAGGAATCGAGAATCAATAAATATTGGAAACGAGATTCTATTAGTGTTTGAATCAAGATTCTTAAAATAAGGAATCAAGATTTCTAACTTCGCAAAATGGATTCCATGAAGATTCCTCGTCGGAATCAGAATTCTGAAATAAAATCGCGACTTTGGGCGAGAAAGTTTGGTAAGTATGGTTCACCCCTCCTCAGAAGCATACTTCATCCTCTATCTACATGATTTTGATACATCCCTCTCGATAAAAGATTGGACAAAATTTCACTGAGCACTGGTTGCATAAGTGGCCTTTACATTTTCTTGCAACGAATTTCAAGTAGAATACACCACTGATTGCAATGATTCCTTTTCTATGGAGGTTGGATGCCTTCGGAGAGGAAATCCAAGATTCATGGGAGGGAAGACAGCATTGCTGACACACTAGGTCAAGGCAGCCTTGGGAGAGACTCATGATACGTAGGGCTAAACCTATCTACTTTTATTTTACTTTCCACTTTTCTTCCAAGATTGTTCATGTTAGTTTGCTTCCATGAGAACCGGATTTAGTTGGTTTTCCCATTTAATTTTTAAAAGGAAATAAATGGTTCACCACTCCTAAGAAGCATACTCCATCCCGTATCTGCATGATTTTGACACCTCTCTCTATATAAAAGTGATTGGAAATCTCACGAAGCACTGATTGCACAAGTGGCCATCGACATTTTCTGGCAATGAATTTCAATTAGATTACACCAGCGATTGAAATGATTATTTATCCATGGAGGTTGGTTGACTTTGAGGAGGAAATCCAAGATCCATGTCATGGAAGGGAAGTGACCTCCACACACACTATAAGAGAGGTAAACAGCACTGCTAACACGCTTGCTCAGGCCAGTCATGGGAGAGACTCCTTATACGCAGAGGTTACCCCTATCTACTTCTATCGTTCTCCCCTCTTCTCTTCCAAGATTGTTCACGTTAGTCTGCTTCTATGAGTAACTGGATTTAGTCAGTTTTCCCATTTAAGTTTTAAAAAAGGAAAAAAGTGGTTCACCCCTCCTCTGAAGCATACTCCATCCTCCATCTGCATGTTTTTAACACCTCTCTCTAAAAAAGACCCATTCAAAATTTAACCAAGCACTAGTTGCATAAGTGGCCATTGACATTTTCTTGCAACGAATTTCAATTAGATTGCACCATTGATGGCAATGATTCCTTATACATGGAGGTTGGCCAAGTTCGAGGAGGAAATCCAAGATTGATGTCATGGGAGGGAAGTGACCTCCACTCACACTGTAAGAGAGGTGAACAGCATTGCTAACACACTAGCTCAGGTCAGCCGTGGGAGAGACTCCTAATACGCAGGGCTAACCGCATCCACTTTTATTGTCTCCCCTCTTTTCTTCCAAGATCGTTCATGTTAGTCTGCTTTCCATGAGCAACTAGATATAGTCAATAATTTTTAAAAATAAAAAAAAGGGTTCACCGCTCCTCAAAAGCATAGTCCATCCTCTATTTGCATGATTTTTGACACACCACTCAATAAAAGATTACTTGAAAATCTCACCAGGCATTGGTTGCATAAGTGGCCATCAAAATTTTCTTGCAACAAATTTCATTTAGATTACACCAGCGATTGCACTGATTCCTGGAAAGCAATGCGCAATCCTTAAAACAAAATAATTGTACCATTAAATAAGACGAAAATTTCAAAAAATACAAGTCCCTTTATCCATTCTTCCCCAAGTCAATCTCTCGTCATCCTCACAATTAATTGAAGGTGTAACCTTCATAATTGGTTATGAATAGTCCTCCTAAAAGTGTTGGATGACAAATAGTTCTCCATTACCATGATGCAGTATCATCCAATGAGAGTCGGTTATCAATACAAAAACCATATTTGCTCATCAATCATGATGTATTCCAACTATCACTCTAGTATTTCAAATAAATTTACTCCTAGTAGGCATGCAATAAAGCTCCAATACAAAAAAAAAAGTCTAAATCTCTATAGTTGATCAAGGTGATGAACTTTTCAAATAAGACTTTCAAGTATCAACCCACTAAATGCCAATAACCCCACAAAATTCCAATGAAATGCACTAAAGGGACAGAAAATTCATTTTTTCAAATTAAAGAACAAATTTGAGGCCGAAACTTGACATGCGCACAATATGGAATGGACAGATTTGGATTTTCTTTGGAATCTGATTCTAGGGATTGAGGCATACATCATAGGCATTTTTAGGGCTTATTTTGGTATATCTCTATAGGTTATCAAATTCAAGAAGTCATGAAATTAGGTTTTCTTCAGTTTCCATTTTGTGTTTATTCTAGTATCTTTAAATTTCTCTTATTTAGTAGGATTATGATGGGAATAGATTGTTGAGATCATTAAGGAATTGACAGTTATGATTTCATAGGAATTGATAGGGTTTTTAGGAACCAAAGTTATTCAAATAGCAGGTGGGTAGTTAAGAGGAAACTTGGATTGTTTACTCTTGTGATTTGTTCTCCTTTATGGAAGGAACATTGAAGCTTGTGATGCTTTTGCCTTCATGGTTGACTCATTCTCGAGCTAATTCATGTTAATTTTGTGTTTGTTGGCTTGGCGACTTGCATGATTTGATATTTTTCAAGAATACAATATTGGGCTTATGTCACTTGGCATCACAGCCAAGCTTCTTAGGGAATTCAAGTCGCAATTAGAAAATTTCATTGAGAAGACTAGCTTTTGCTACTGATCAAGACGGATGTACCTAATTGCAACAAACCATCGCCAACTACTTCAAATCATGCATGATGTGCAAGAGGCCTAGCAGCATGGAAGGATATTGGGGATCAGATGTGAAGAGCACAAGATTCACTGTTGTGGAGAAACATTCGTTGTCAACCTGCTTCACCAACAAGGGGCCTTGACACAAGTTGGTTTCCATGATTGTGAATGCATAATGTTTCTGGTCATTATCCTTTCATAGTCACAGATTAGAACTCACCACCTATCTTTGACCTGTACCCAAATGATCATTTGGGTTTTGCAAATCCAATTACAATAGAGAGGTTGGATTTTCAGGAGGAAAGGGTCAAGGAGAAATCCACAACTAATGAAAAGGTGGTTGAATTTTACTTATTAGTATTAATTCTACCATCTACATGTCTTGATTCATTTCTTGATTTATTCTCACAAGTGTTATCAAGACCAAACTAGATTAATTGGTTGGTCCAACCGGTCGACAACTAACCAAAGCCTTGGCCAATCTGATCGCAAAAACATGGTTTGGTTGAAAACTGGTTAAACCAATATTTTACCAATTTTGACCAGTCTGATCCAAAGCAAAAACATGGTTTGGTTGAAAACTGGTTAAACCAATGTTTTGGCCAGTCGGATTCGTCAAGTTTGACCGCTTGGACAACAAAACAAAGACGAGAAAGCTCTTTCTTTCTTTTTCTTTTTTTACATAGTTCATATTTTTCAACTAGTGTTCTTGTTTTTCTTTATTTTCTAAGAATTCAATTCAACCGGTTTCAGTAGCAATTTGACTGGCTTTGACTGGGCCAAACCAGAACACTGTTTAGGTGATTGGTCTGGCTCCGATAACATTGATTCTTGGTACTATTCATACTTTTAGTGCACAGAGAACAAAGTTGAAGAAGAATGAAGATTTGATGCAAAACCCATCTTAGCTCTCTTTAGACCTCAAGACGAGTTTTCAATCAGAGGAGACTGATGGACGGACAAACTGGGTTTCTTTATGCATTTAAATTGTGGATCAATGTTATTTGGGGATTTTTAGGGCTTATTTTTGGTATTTTCTAAGTATAGGTTAATGGGGTTTAGGAAGCCACAAAATAAGCTTTATTTGGGTTTTAAAAAGAAACTTGAAGGTTGTGATGCTCGTTTCATGATTGATTTCCTTCTTCAACTACTTTGCATAATCTTGCGTTTGTTGGTTTGATTTCTTGCATATTTTAATATCGTTTCAAAGGGAGAATCTAAAGACCTGCATCAAACTGGCATATGAAAAGACAGATGGAAGAAAACTAAAGCCACTCTGTATAGCATGAAATGAGAGAGAAGAGAGAAACTAGCCCTTGTATTGAATTAAGAGAGTAGAATCCACTCCTCTTAGATCGCATATATTATGTTAGAGATAGAGAAAGAAACCCACTCTCAAATTGTATAACGATGACACAGAGAGAACCCACTCTTGTAGTGTACTTTGTGATAGAGACTACTATTTTTTGTGTATGTACTATGAGAGAGAGGTTACCAGAGGAATCTGCTCCATTGTCGCAGAAAGGAAGAGTGATGGTGAGAGAAGAGTAATTGAGGAAGTAGTTACAGGACATGGCCACCGACACAGCAATAGCAGCAACGCCTAAGAGTTGAAGAAACTGCTCCTTTGTAGAAGGCAAGAGATCAGAAATAGATGACGAAGAAGAAGAAGCCCTTGATCGCTTCATTGTAAGACCAAAGCCAGCTTCTTTCAAGGGTTCAGAGAGAGAAAGCGTGGAGCAGGGTGCTTGAGAGGGAAACCATTGAATTCGGGGTTGAAGGATGAGAAAGCTTATATATGGTTGCATTTGTACGGTAACAGCTAAGGATGCCGCCTTATGAGCAGTCCAATAAATTGGACGGTGGGGTTTTTGAATCACCCAAACACCCAAAAAAAAAATTATATATATATATATATATATAGACGAAAGCTGCAATCCTAAAAGTGACGCCTCAGCTCATGATCATAATTGGCAAGTTGGGGATTTTTAATAAATCGTTTACTTTAAAATAAAATACATATATATTTTTACTTTAAAAAGTTGGATCAAAAATATGGATGGACAAAAATACTTCAGTTAAAAATATCGTTAATATATCGGATTAAGCTAAAAAAATCGGATAAATTAACAAAAATCACAACTACTTCATACCAAAAAAACAAATACACGATATAAATTAAATAATTTAACAAAGATCACAACTATTTAAAAAAAAACAAAAAAAAATACACTATATAAATTTTCACATTATCAAATCTACTTAAATATCAATATATCAAAAAAAAAGACACAATCTTTTTTTTACAAATATCAAATCTATTTAAATATCAACATACCCAAAATACACCATATAAATCTTCACATTGAACACTTCAACAAATATCAAATCTACTTAAATATCACCATACCCAAAAAAAAAAAAGACAATTAAATATCAACAAATATCAAATCTACTTAAATATCAACATGCCAAAATCTACTTTAAAAACCCAAATCTACTTAAATACTTTAGCAAATATCAATATGCCCAAAAAAATGCACAATTTTTTTTTATCATTAAATGCTTTAACTATAGTTAATATAAAGGTTACTTTTTATTTTTCGTAGTTGTTTTCATTGAAAACCGCTTCTGCAAAACCTTTTGTGAAATTTGAAGACTTTTGGGGAAAAAGATGGAGCACGGCTTTGGAAGACTTGAAAACAGGAAGAAGCTCGATAGAACTCTCTTCTCCCCTGAGCTCACTGAAAAGGAAGCTCGATAGAGCAGCAACGTCTTTGGAAGACCTGTGTTTCATTAAAAACAAGGTATGCTTCTTCAAAATTGGGGATGGGGGTTTTGCTTTGTGAATTTGGAAAAAGCTCAAAATTGGGGATGGGCTTTTTCTCTATTATAGAGAGAAAATCAAATGGGGTTTCTTGGAGATGGGGGTTTTCAGGAGTATGAAGTTT